ATCTTAGAGGGAAAGGACCCCAGGAGCTGAACCATCTATATCTCCCTGCAGCTCCAAGTGAGACCTCCAGGACCCTAGTATTGGGTTGCCAGAGCAGCTTCCCCCCACCAAAGCTGAGATATGCAGATCCCTCTGTTTGTTGGCAACTGGTGCCATGAACACAATTTAAGATTACTAGGAGAAATCGTTACCAGGAAATCGACTTCTGTAAACCTACAAGAAAAGATTGATTCTGGCGAGGAAGGCAGGGATCAGCTAAGATACTACCACACAGACATACCTGGTCCAGAAGAGGAAGATGGATGAGGAACTGGAAGAAAGTAAAAGCAAACTTAGATGCAGGATTATTGTAAAGCAGGTATCACAGATGAACAAGCTCAGTGGGATGGAAGGGAGAAATGCCTGGTACTACACTGGTCACCTTGGAAGGAGAATGTGAGGGTGGCACCACCTAACGTCCCAGGACATTGTTCCAGGATCCATAGTTTCATTTGAGTGTAAAGCCTGCGTGTGCCCCCTGGTTACTACCCAATACCCCTCTCTCAGGCACCATCTGACTAAGGGTAGAGCTTCCACGGATCTACGTGAGGAGCATACAGATGAAACTCTAGCCGTAGGGCTAGGTGACTGGAGTAAAGCCCACTCCCACAGAGAGTGGTCCAAGAGTCTTTGATCCAAGAGGTTCAACTGAGCCGACGATACCAGCATCTGCCCTGTGTCCACAGTTGTGGGAGAGTCAGCCACTGTGGGGACAGTTCCACAGGGAGGACCCATACCCGGAACCGTGCACACCGTGTAGGATGATCACACCCGAGCCCTGACCACACTGGGCATTTCCAGGGTCCCAATGGGCCCAGTCACAGCCTGGCTGCCTGCAGACCTCATCAGCTTCCTCAGGCCCCAGCTGTGGTCACTCATGATGCCCTAGAGCCTTGGTGTAGTACTGTAACCGAGTTTATTTTTGAGTTTTCATCACTTTCAAATTGTTGTTTGTAATTATTGTTGAGTCCGTTTCAACGCTGTGGGATTTCAGAGGAGCAGTTGGTGAGTTAGAACCACCGACCTTATGGTTCAAACCGACATTGCTGTGCAGTGCTTACCCTAGAGCTACACCAGGACTC